CAGCAGGAAACTAGATTTTTGCCAAAACAAGTATTTCTCTTGCACAGAAAACCATAATTTTTGTTAAAGTATTACATCTCAACACTCAATTTCCACAAAAAAAACCCAAAATAAATGGAAAGTGTATTTTTCCAGCAAAAATTTCCATGGGAAAAAAAAACAGTATTTCAGTTCAGCTCTCAGTTATCACATCATCCCTTTATCACAATCAAGCTCAAGCTCATTCTTGCTTTGTAGACAGCCACTCTGTGAGGGAGGAGGGAAGGGTAATTTTGGCAAGCAGAACTCACCCTGGCAGAACACTGAGCTCAATCCTACCACTGTATGCTCAGTTCCTGCTTCCTGAGAGATGCATTTGGTTTCTGATCCTCTGTAGCTAGGCTGACGAGATGTGAATGTTTTCATTGAATCAAATAAAATAAAATTGCATTTTCCCATGTTAAGCTGAGGATTGCACCTAGAGTAATATAGTGCCAGGGAATACAGTGTCACCATTTGACAAAGCTCTCTCACAAAATTGATGCCCTACCCCTCACGATAAACTCTGTGTCCCAGATATTTATCTATTTACTGTTACTTACTTGTCGGATTGTCAAGAGATGTAGCATGTTAGGCATTCAGATCGCACTGAGTTCCAAAATGATTTGGGGCATCTATCTGCCTCAGGCTCCTTGAAAATCAGTCATAATCACATTTACATTACAGTAATGTTCATTTATATATATCACAGTAATGCCTCGAGGCCTCTACCAGGTTGGAGCTTCAGTATTGTAAGTGCTGGAAAACATGCTAGGAACTGTTTTTACTTGCTGCTTTAAATCTATGATTATCATACTGGTATGATGCTACAATTTTCCATTTGAATAATTTTTAAATGCATTTGTTAGCAATGAAGACTTCTCCTAAAAACTTTGGAATTGATTCTCATTAATGATAAGACCTTTTATTTTACATTGCTGTAGCAGACAAAGTACAGCTTAGATTAAATATTCACATCCATTTTAAGGCCCTTTTACAGAAATAAAGTGATGTAAATGAGAATCAGGCCCTTTACATTTTTAAATATCTGCAATGCTGGTCTCAAAGCACCTTCCACAATAAGGTCTTAGTTCATAACTTGTGTTTCTCAACCACCACAGTAGTACAAATAATAAATCATAATAGTTGCAATAAGGTACATTTCAAGGTAAAACATTTATTCTTAAGATTTTTATGAGTCCTGGAAATGATTAATCTCTGTCAGGACTGATTTAGCTCTTGTCAGGAATGGGGTACCGTACAGCAAAATCATGGATATGCTCAGTTTTCTGTATAGCTGGGTTCCAGAATTGTACAAAGAAGGTTCCCATGCACAGCATATCTTTGCAGAGTGTGTAAGTGAATTATATATAATTTATAAGAGACAGTTTGAATCCTAAATATAAAAATGCAACTCTGAATAGACTTTTCTGTCACATTTGAAATATGGATAAATCTTTCTTACCAGCTATATTCTGCAACCATGAAATAGGCTAAGACGACATTTAAGTGTTAGTTAAAAAATAGATGCAATTTAGAAAACTAGCCAAGGTTATGAGTCTTAACAAGTGAAAAGGATTAATGACAGTGAATACTAAGAAAACATGATTATTCAGCATCAGATCCATACACAGCTGTGCCTCATAACAGCAGTATGTTTTCCCTAGTTTACAAAATGCAGGAGGCAGTTTGCTTCAGTTTCTCAGGGTAAAAAGAAATAGTATAAAAATACATTCTGTTTCTTCTCACAAAAGAACTCCATATAATCCAATAATTGGTTCAAGAGATTAGCAGACCCTCTATGATGATGCTTTATTACTGTGTAGCTGCTGTGGCTAACAGATATTCATCAATGGGTAGAGACTGACATTCACACTATAGATTGACCTTCGCACAATACATTCCAATGTTCCTGCAAGCCCTGGAATTTACAAGGCTATTATTTAGTCTATATATTTAATTCTCTCCAGGTTTATAAAAAAAAATATTTTCCAAGGTTTATTTTTGCAATTTAAACTCCTCAGTTGTGACAAACATTCTATATGCTGTCTATCCAAAAAAAAAAAAACAACCCCAAAAATCCACCTCCAAAACAGAAATGGGCATTTAGCTATGTGGC